TTGAGAACCCCGCCTTTATCGTTTGCAGTGGTGCCGGGGCACTTGGTTTTCGTTCCTTTACTTGACCACACTCTGCACGATTGACAGAACAGCGCAATCTCACGCTGGATGTATGTCCACCAAGATCGGCGACGTCCTGACTCTTCCAGTTTGTTCTGTCCAGCATGGCCTAATTCTTTATGAAGTCGCTTCAAGCCCGTTTCAACTGCACTGCTTGGTACCACAATACGACGCAAGTAAGTAGGACCTTTTTGGTAGTAAAGGACACCGTCAGTCACACGCATTTGAGACCAAAGGGCCTAAAGATAACGCGTCGGGTAGCTAGAACCCGCGATTTCGTCACTGAATGACCGGTGTTAGTTGTGGAAGAGCCGCTCATATAGGAGTTTCAATTCGGTGTCCGAGGATTGAACTGTGGCCCACTCCTCACTTTCCGGTGCGCGTAACGACATCGATAAGACGTAAGAGCCGGAGCATGATGGACAATCACCATGATCGCGGGTTGGTTGGCGGGACAAAGCATCTGCATTCCCGTGTTGTTTACCTGCTCGTTGCTGGCTCTCGAAATCGTACTCTTTCAGGTACTCCTGGCATCGGTCTAATTGGCTTTCGGGATCACGGAAGTTTTGTGACCACAGTAGCGATTTGTGATCGGTTTGGACCGAAAACTTGCGACCAGTAAGGTAGTGGCGGAATTGTCGCATGAAGTTTACAAGGGCTAACATTTCCTTGCGTGTCGTACAGTATCGCTTCTCTCGATGTGAGAAACTTCGGCTGGCATATGCGATTACTCTTTCCATTGCGTCACCTGAGCGCTGAGACAGCACCGCACCAATTGCGTTCTCACCTGCGTCCGTATCGAAGATAAAGGTGGCGACATATCCGGATAGGTCAAAATAGGTGTGGAACACAGGCAGTCGCGGAGCTGCTTGAATGCTTTGGCTTGTTTTTCAGACCAAACAAAGGGAGCGTTCTTTTGCAGGAGGGATGTGAGTGGAGTAGCGATATTAGTGAATCCAGCTACGAAGCGGCAATAATATGAAGCCAGTCCCATGAAGCTACGGATCTCATCAGCTGATTTTGGGGTTGGCCATGTCTTAACTTTCTCAATCTTGGCGGGATCCCACTGAATTTCGCTGGCCGAGATTACATGCCCGAGGTAACTTACTTCTCGTTGGAGGATCGCACATTTCGACGGTTTCAGCTTCATCCCGAGTTGATTGAAAAGGTCCAAAACAAGTCTTAGGTTGGCGTTGTGCTCCGAAACTGTTTTGCCGTGTACGATAATGTCATCCAGGTAAACTAGGCACTTATTCGGAACTAGTCCATGCAGAGCTGGGTACATTAGCCGCTGGAATGTGGCTGGAGAGTTGGTCAATCCAAACGGCATGGTTTGAAACTCATATAAGCTTGATGGGATCGCAAACTCGGTCTTGCTACGGTCACTAGGCTGTATTTCCACTTGCCAGTACCCAGAAGCTAAATCCAGTGTGCTGCACCTCCTAAGGCGTCGAAGGTATCATCAATGCGGGGTAGTGGAAAAGACTCTTTTCGAGTGACTGCATTCAGCTTGCGATAGTTAACACACAACGGTAAAGAACCATCCTGTTTCTTCACCAAAACTACTGGCGAGGCCCATGGTGACGTGGAAGGTTTGATGATGTCCTTGCTCATCATGTCATTGATCATTTGATTTAGCTGGTTTTGGTACTGAATCGGGACACATCGTGGTGGTAGGCGGACGGGTGTAGTGTCGATACGATGTTGTACGTGTTTCGTTCGACCAACATCAGAATTCTTCCAAGCGAAAACATCGATATACTCCGACAGGACACTCCCTAGTTCTGCCGTCGTCGACAAGCTCATTGTAGGTGACAGTCGTGACAGCAGTACGTCTATGTCGATCGACATGGCGGGACAACATTCATCGGCGCAGTCAGCACTCGTGATGATGGGTATTTGGTTGCCCTCTAATTCGATGGTACCTGCTAGGAGGTCGATCTTCGCCCGTTGACTTTTCAGGAAGTCTACTCCTAGTATGACATCCCAGGGTAAGCTATCAACGACTAGCATGGGCTGGTGAATAGTTGTTTGATGCAGAGTTAGCGGTACCGTTGACCAACCCGTAGAATGGACGGGTCCACCGTTGACAGCCATGAGTTTAAAAGGGCAGTGTCTGAAGGAACCCTCACCTAAGGGTAAGCTTTTGCTGTTAATCAGGCAACAGGCTGCCCCAGTATCAATCAGTATTCTACATCCCCTATCCCAGACATGCCCGTCTACTGTGGGAGGTGTCCGGTGAGTACTCAAAAAGTCAAAGGTGCAAATTGGAACAAACCGGAATTGGGTGAACTCACGTGGTCCATTGTGTCCAAAGGTCCGGGCGCGTCTCCCGAAGCGCTGGCAGTAGGGGCAGTCACGGCTCGGGATGGGCCATCTCGAAAGGTTGGTTGGGGCTGGACGCTGAAAAGTAGAGTGAAAGTACGGTCGGTTGGGGCGCAATGGCATGGGGTGGTATGGTCGTCCTCGGGTTGGTGTCCAACGTCGGCTTTGTTGTTGAATGTGGACGGGGGCGAGGTGTGCTGTGTTCGGCTCTCGATCCCTCTGTAGGACGCTCAAGATGTCCTCCACCTGGTTCGCTACTTGTAGTGCCTCTGCAACCGAGTGAAGAGGACTACCCAAAAACCGCTCGCGGAGTTTAGGCGCTTGGGTACCGACAATGATCTACTCAAGGATCTTTTCTTCCCGCTGTCCGTCGGTTAAATCCCGAAACGTGTCTTCACTTATTCGACGCAGTTCTCAAACAAAATTTGACAGTCTTTCGCCCGACAGTTGGATTCGTGACTGGAACCGATATTGATGTTCGACTGGGTGAGTCCGCTCCGTCAAGCGTGCGCGAAGCCGTTCGAAGACATCTTCCGTGACCCCGTCTTTCAAGATATGTTCATCTCGCACTATATCCCGAGCTTCTCCATCCAATAATCAAAGCAACACGCTTTCGTTCACTGGCAGGAAACAGCTGGACTTATTCTGATGTGCCCGCAGCCCAGCGGCGAAAATTGTCACCCGGGCAGAACTTATCTGGGGGTGGAATAGTTTTGGAGGAGATCGAGTGTGGATGAATCCAGCGCTAATAACCGAGGACAGAAGTGAGAAAAACGATTGTAACGTTCTGTAGCACAATGACCAAAATGAACCGCCGGATGCGACAGGCTCTTCAGTTTTTCCGTGAGATCTGGTACGCATCATTTGTACGAATCCTGGCGTGGTCGCCAATTGTGATATGCACGCTATGGAAGCACCAGAGGACAGTGATTCTCTGAAGGCAGGTGTTCACGGCAATTTCTGTGGATGGAAAACAGAAACAAAGCTCACGAGCCGAAGCTCAGTAAGCAAGGTTGTACATCACCAATACTTACATATAAATCAATCAAACTGACAGACACCGTTACTACAGTATGTCAGAGGAATCTGCCTTGCAGAACTCTTTTTGCCCCGCCGACATACACCGACAAGTGTATGTACGTCATCTGAGACAGCAACATCAGTGTGCTTCACTGGCCTGCAATCATGGATTTTATATAGTTAAAGTTATAGTTAAAGCCCTACAGTGGGTTAAAGGAAAGTATTGGATGGGGGGATCGCAAGCATCCTGAGGTGGCTCCAGCTCGGACCGTCCAACCAGATAATCCCGAGAGGAACTGACAACACGACATGGATCACCCGCCACTTTTTGTAATGTTTTCAGCCAAGCTCACGGGGGGGTGTCCTATCCCTGAAGGCGGACCGCACCAACAACGCCTTCACTGTTAATAATCCCTTTCAGTGCAGTTCGAATGTGTTTCATTGAATGAACTGTCAACGGCGTATGAAAGCGGTGACCAACAAATTCAGTGGGGTCGGCAGCTATCGCCACCCCGGACGAGGATCCCCGGGACACAATACTGGCAGATATAGCTCAATCACACTCTCAGTAGTGTTCGTCCATCATACCTATCCCCTTTAATGCGTAGCTGTCCAGTTTTCTTAACTAGCCGGTCATGCCATCGCCTTGCGTGCTTGGCTATATCTCCCACGATCTCCCATTTTTGGTGATCGAAGCTAGCAGCTGGAACGAACCTACCTTTGGCGCAAGGTTCATTGCTGCTAAATTTACACGGATGGGAGGTTCAGGTGGTTGTGCATGCGGTTCTTAGCAAACCACGTGTAGCATCACCCGTTATGTGCGAATGTTTATGGGTTTCGTTCGATGGGAAAGGCTAATTTGGTATTGGATACCCATTCAGCCCTGCTAATCGCGTCATACCCATCACCTTTAACTGTGGGGATAAGCTCTTTTTCTTAATTCCTACTAGCTGCGTGGGAACTGTGAGCACTATCCACTACTTTCCGACCCGAGTGTATGAGCTTCCAGTTTCTTACTTCCGTTGGTCAATAAGGGCGCACCGTCTCCTGGTACGTAGCCGGTTTGTCCGACAGTCAGCCAGTCGAACCGTCGGTAACAGAGAAAGGATGACGGTCTCGTAGAAACTACACCACTTTCCGCTCAACGAGAGTGACCCTACTCCAAGGGGAGCATCAGATTCTGGGTAAACTTCATGAGATGTGGATCCATACATTTGTCTAGTCTGCCTTAGAAATTCGGCTCCAATCAGCGTACTTGATTCCGGTAGCGTGGCTATCGCATTTACACGGTCAGAGATATTGTTGGGGATTGCTTGGCTTCCAGGGTTGATAATTTCCGATAAATCCGGCGACCCAGATAGATGTAACCCATGATTGAGCGATATTAGTCTATCGCATAGGCACCGACCAGTATCGCTGGATAATTACTATTGAATGGCAATCGTGAGAGGCCGACGGCTCTAAATCATCAGTTACGCCGTCACTCGAAAGCCGATACTGACTATACATTTTACTTCCATATTTTAGATTTTGCTTTTACTTCTATCGAATATCTACTTTCCTGTGATTCAGCACCTGCACAGAAGTGGGGCAACATGCCAATGAAGTGTTTTCCTGGTCCGGGAAACTTCCGTGTGAAACTTGCCCTGTCACTCATCACCCTTAGGCCGATCAGTATAACGCAAATTCGAAATAAAAGTTTGAATCCTGGGGTCGATGCCGCTGAAGTTTCACTTCTCAAGTTAATTGATGAAGTCTCCAATGGTACAGAAATAAAAATCAGTGACACAGGTATTGGATATCCTTTACATTCATACGTTGTTTAGGTACTACTGTAACGTGCAAACCTGGGATTCTGGTCGGAGGGACTTTCACGTTTGAATGCTGCGGGGAGAGGGGTCTCGGCTACTTTATTGAATTTCTCCTTTTGATAGCTCCTTTCTGTAAACAACCTATAAATGCTACTCTTATGGGAGTGACAAATTCTTCGATTGACCCTTCCCCAGATATGATTAAACAGGCGTGGTTTCCCGCCTATCGAGAACTCATCGGGCCAAGCGCTGCAGCTGCCTTGGAGTTGACCATCACCAAACGTGGCACGGCACCAAATGGCGGTGGGGAGATAGTCTTCTCTTCCAAACCGTGTACTGGGATATTACCAATGATGAAACTGAATGAAGGAAAAGTGTACAGGTTGGTTTAATCTGATTACGCCAATATGTTTTAATATTTTTTACAACTGAGAGGAACACTGATAGTAGGTTCTGTCTCAGGTTTCCAATCCAGAGAGATAATAGCTGCCACTGAATAGAACGTCAGTGTTTCACTACAGTGAACTGGTCTCATTTTTTTGGAAATCCGAGGATTTTAAATATCTCTGTTGCTGGTTGTCTTCGATGCAAAATAGTCTCACTATGTCAGTTGAAAATTCAGTTGGTGTTACCGGGATACTCAGCTGGGTCCCCCGTTTGTGATAGTGTGTGATGTTGAGCAGCTGTCACTAAGCCGTTACTACGTGCATACTGATTTTAACGAAGACCATTTTCCTCCACGTGTGTACTGTGGAAACATGTTGATTTGGTGACAATTTCGTCTCCCGACCGTAAGCAGAGTCTTGTGCCACCACACCGACGCTACTAATGTTTAAGGTTATCAAAAGCCATACTTGAGTTAGAGTGCTGTGGAGCACTATGCTTATTTCTGAAGTTACACTGGCTCTAACGGTTTTGTGGTATGAAATCAATGCATGAATCTCGAATACCGGATTGGCGCCACTTGTGGCATCAAAAGTGTGTATCACTGGGCCTCAGATGAAGTTTATATTAGGGAGAGATCAGATGATTAGAGATTAGAGAGAGTGGATACTGTTGGTACGGTCCGGTTCGCAGGATGGGGTTTCCATGATGCCCCCGCACTCAACTGGACACATTCCAAGACAGAGTCTCTCATACCAGGTTGGTCAATGGTTAGAGGTCTGACGAACACAGTCTCCTGGCCCTCCAGGTTGGGGGTTGGAACATGTGGCGACTTGTTCCGTAGGAATGGTAATGCATTTGCATTTCCCGCCAAACACCGCTGCCTTGCGGTTAGGCTTTTGAGCCAAAGGCTTTGGTTGAGGACCCTAATCGTCCTCCTGTCTAGGTGTGGGCGCCCTGGCAGTATCCCAGCCCTCGTACAACCATGACCTACACAACTAACAATATTCTCATGATGATTCCAAGACATCGCGAATGATTGATGTCAGTTTCGCCTGTGCTTCCAGTTCCTCATCGGATTGTCTTATTGGGCGCTCGGGCGTGGAGGCACCCAAGAAAGCTTGTGATAGGCCATCACCAACCTACCCTTTTCCCTTCTTTCTTTACTGCACGTTTGTCAGTATATGATTAAATAAACTTCGCTGCCCATTCGCGTAATCATCCGCTCTCTGGTGTGTTGCGCACTCGAATGATTCTGCCAGAAACAGAGAACGAGGATTGCCGAATGATTGGCTTTAATCTTCTATCAATTTCAGTACATCAGCTAAAACATTAGGAAACAATTAGCTCAACGATTAGCGAGTAAAAAGTTAAACACAACGTCAGTATATAACATGATGTACCTGAGTTATATTCCAAAGTTGCTTTCGTGATCTGCTAATCTGACAAGCGACTCTTTTTGGCTGGAGTTACTTTTGTTATTGCACTATTGGAAATTGTCCAGTGTCCACATCGTATTTTTTGGTGTTATTCGTCGATATACGAGTGATAGAATGCGAGATTTACGAGGATTGATCTGCGGACACATAACCAAAAATTCAACCGTGGCTTGTACACGAGTTTCTCTCCCGAACCCGATTTTGTTGAAATACAGCCTGACGCAGTCGTATTTAAGGAAGTGGAAATTCAAAAGAACACAATCTTACCACCGCCACCAACACCACAACAATAACAACAGACAAACTCATCTTCTCTTATCCGAACAGGTGGAGTCATTTCAGGAAGGCCAATAAGAGTGATTACTATGTTTGGAGCTCACTGTTTAGGTTAGTGAGCTTGAGATATCTCAGCGATTGAGACGCAAACTTTCTGACCGGAATGTTCAACCTCGGCTTCTCGACTGCTCCTGGTCGGACAATCTGACAGTATCCCAGCTCTCGTTTTCCCTTCAGGTGGCCTGAGAGATAGGCGCCGAAAGGGTGTTATCCGGGTTGACCACGAAACTCCTAACTTCCCTCCTAGGTCTTCTCCGAAAGTATTCTCGTCCATGGTCTGCGTAGGTGTAGCGATTGGCGTTTAGACCGATTCATTCGTGTAGTGACTCACTACACGAATGAATCCGCCCACGGTAATATATGTTCGTCCACTCACACAGCAAAGGAAGTTGATCAAGATAAAACTAGCTACGTCTACAGTTTATTTTCTTGAGATGTCTGACGATCAGCGAAGCATAGTGCGATTACATAATTGTAGGTCTAGCCGGTGACAATGCAGTTCACTCACGTGTGACCTTTTTTATCCTCGGTTTCTAGCGTTTTTGGTACCGTGCTTGGTGTGGTCTCCCAACAGCCCGAAATGAACGAACTACCAAATGACCTGCGTTTAGCCCAAATGCTTGTTTTATAATCATGAGCCTGTTCATTCAGTACGAACTTCGCATAAACATAGCCAGTTAACTTGTGGAATTCGATTTACCGACTGTCGAATGGCTCGTGCTCTTCGTGTAACTTTTTACCCGAAATAACAAGGGGAACCCTATCGTCTCTGATATCACTAATAAGGGTTGCTACTACTTGCTTGCAAGAGCATAGACCAGAAACTGGGTGCTTTTCGCGTGACCCCCACTACGAGGTATGGTTCAAACCCTAAATTGTTCAACCACTTATCTTTCTGAACCGACTCGATGACAAATGCTGCCAACCGATGTTGAGATTAGCAGTCGGCATAAGTTTACGTAAAGGGGAAGATTGAAGATTCGGCTGGATTCGGTCTATTCTCCTGTCAAAACCAAATGCGTATGTAAATGAGATTAATTGAACATTGATTCTGTTTAAACAAATCTTATGTGATGTGCTGCTTGCTTCTGTCCTTTCTAGGATTCGTGGAGTTGCCTGGACTTGCCGCGTCAACTCCGGATATGGGCATAAACTAATGTCAGGTGCCAAGTCCCTGCTCAATCGGCTACTTAGTGATGTCTATGTTACTCTAGATCATCGAAAAGTAAGCCTGTTTTCACTCTAGGTATCAGGTTCTGGCTTCCAGTCGCGTTTTCAACCGTCAATGTTCCGTCAGGGAAAGTGTTTTACCAGTATTGATCCTAACATTACGTTGTCACACCTTTTGCTTTTCACTTGTGGATCATGATAGTCAATTCTAAGAAACACCATCCAGGATTGAGGGAATTGAGTTGACAAACCTATAGCTACGTTTCCCAGATAAGTTCTCCCACTATCCAACCATGGTGAAGTTCATTTTTTCGCCAATGTGTTGGCGGAGTTTAGGTAGTATTTTTTATAACCATTTACAGTACGATTCTGAGGTAAATGACTTTCATGTTGAAACAAACAACTTGTATGGTTCATTCTCGCACATCAAAGTAGACCGTTTGAAATGGAATGCGGAAACCCAAGGATGTGATCAATATTTCTGCACCAACTTGCGGCCACCTTTGGTAATTAAGAAGATTCTGGTGATTGAACATAACCTTACAGGAACAACACTTTGTACAAACAAGGCTTATGTTATTAGTGCACTGTTCGTGATCCATAATGCAAATCAGAAGGTATATGCACTAATAAAAGTTTTTAGCATAGTTGACAGTGCTCGGTTGCAACACGTATAAAAATAAATACATTGCGAAATGGGAGCAAGTCAAAAAAGGAACTTATCATATGTGAGAGTCCCTTGGTGAACGGCAGGAACGTGTTTTCTCCGCAGTTTAGCTGCTATACGTATTCCGTAATTGTCCATGGAGACTTGGAGTGTTTGGTTGACTTCCTGCTCCCTGCGCGCGCGAGTCTGTGCTGACTGTGTTCGGTTTCCCTATTTGTAGATCCGTTTGCGTGCACGTGGGCGCGTCAGCACATGAGTAGTTGCTACGCTCACTAGACGATACGGATGTCCGATGAGTCACCTTAATGTGACGTGGTTTGTGAGTTGAAAAAAGAACAAGTCTCGTGATCCAGTGAGCGACTGTGAGCTGAACAGTCAAATATGTGGGTGACCGGGTAGCTACAATCTCTTGTGAAGAAAAGTTTTCGATTTCACCTCTGTGCGCCTATTGACATCAACACGCTTGTTTGCTGGGTCGTTGACCTACTCCCCGAAGATTTATTCCATTGTCTGGTCAGTCTTTCCCGACTGAATGGCCCCAATGGAATTAGAATGGCTGGAACCACTTCCATGTGGAATTACTTTTTATTTGGTTCAGTTTTTAGAACACTCTTCGGTAACGATAATGCTGAGCGAGTTTCATTTTCGTAAATGCAAGTGATGCGTAACTCCCATTCGACCATAGGTGGAGATCCAGTAAAATGGTCATTATAGCAAGAAGAATGATCCTAAGCACTCAACTCAGGCAGTTCGTTGCCATATACCATATATTCTAAACTGTTAGGCTAAGACACCATAAGATCTAAGTATCCGACGAATGGCTGTCCGCTGTAACCACTCTAAGGCTCGCCGTCTGCGTAGTCACTAGACGACTTTGGTAGAGGCTCGGGAGTGTGTAAAACGAGTTTAAAATAGTGCTGCCGTTCAAACTATCAACTTTTCGGTTGCGTTCCCACTTCCGAACCCGTAGTAAAAAGGAGGATGTGGATAAAGTCTCGTCTTATGCCTCTGACGTCTGCCGCGAGCCTAAAAACGGTGGATTTTACAACCAGACTTTGTTTAACAGTAGCATCCGGGGCTCCGATTTTCGGGGAAATGCTGTCCAATAGTTTTGAAGAATGGCATTCAAAAATCTTGTCATAATTCAAACTTGATGTCAGAACTACACCACTCCGCAAAGACTGCTTTTGTTTAGTCCTTGTTGCAGCGCTTTCGGATTGAGGGCTTACCTGGCAAGCAAATCGTCCCCTTGCCATCCTTCAACTTCGCTCGGACTTTTCTATTCGTGTAAATTTCTGTGTGCCCTCCACTGCAGTCGCACCTGTGCAGATCGTTTTCAAACGGTCTCCGCAGAATCCATTTTTAGTGGAGTTTTACGAAGAATGCTTCCAGTTACCGTGCAATAGTCGTGCTACGTGCGAGACCTTAGCAGTCATCACGTAGCTTTGGCTTATTGAACAGAAAGACATTTCTTCTGTCTAAAGGCCATCCTTCGAAGAACCCCACAGCTGGCCTTTGCTTGGTGATTGGATTTATACCGGAGACAAATTTCCCTACGGGTTGAAAAGTTGTCTTTCTTTACTTCATGTGGTCTCTAACTCATAGCGCTTCGGTTACTTCCACTAACGCCTCTTCAGATGACCATCTTGTAAAACTGGATTTTTCTTGTCATGGTCCCAACAAATACTTTTCAATGCGAGCCGCGCCCTCGGCTGTATCATACCACTATAACTTCTGGGTCTTGCTGGTGGTGGTGGTGGAGGTGGGCGAGACGGCCCAAGTGGTAAGAGCGCGAATTTACTGACCGGAAGGTCCGTGGTTCGAATCCCACCTCCGCCTCTCGACTTCCCCTGTCTAGGCTTGGGCAACCTGGCAGTATCCCAGCCCTCGTGCTTCCTTCGGGTGGCATGGCAGCTAGGCACCGGAAGAGTGCTACAGCTGAACGGTTTTTTCTCGCTGCTGGTGCCATACGTAAAACAATAAATAACGGTTTTCCAACCGAAGGTGTCGGGAACGAAATGCGCAAAACTTTCTGTTTAAGGCATAAGATCGGACGTTTCTGCGAGGACAAACGATGAGACGGAAAACTTACAGTAAAATACCGGTGGTTGTTTTGCTGTTAGATGACTTCACTACGAATGCTGACTTGCATCAGATGCCCATAATTCTGCTTGAGCTTAACTCTATTTTTAAATTACAGTCGATCGACTACGGGGCCATCCAGCAACTTGAATATTGAGAGGGTCGACTAAAACAGTGTGAATGCACCAAAAATGAAAATGGGCCTCCAAGTCGTTTTCCGTCCCGCTTTGTTTCATCGGTTGGTTGATTAAGTTGGCTTTTGAGGATCTAGGGCTGTCTTGAAGGTTGCGGTTGCTCGCCGACCAAATGCAGCTCAGCTTGGAATCCGCAGTTTTACGCGAGTTATTAGTCGGGTCACCTTACGCGTTGAATACATAGAAAACCTGCTATTCCTGGTTCATCTCCGCTTACACTTTCACATATTGCATTTCCGCTGTCCTGCATCAATGTGAGTAGTCTCTCTGCAGGTCGTACCACGAGGATTGACAGCCACTGCGTCACTCTAATTTGAAGCTTTGGTGTGTCCGTTTTCAGTGACCGAAGTCAGTCTTCAAACCTGAGAGCCGGTCTAATTAGCTGCCTTTTATGTTCACACAATGAAGCAAGCAGAACGACAAGCGACTGTTGCTCCTGCCTTGGACGGGCAACACAGAGCGCCTTTTGCAGATGTATACTGATCACGGACCGTCTCTTTGCATTGTCAGTTCCCGGAACAACGGAAGTCGTTTGACTATGTGCTGTCCACGAACGAACCAGCATCGAATCAAAATAGACCAGTGCCATCAGGTATGGGTGGCTAGGATTGAGCACTGTCTGTCACTCCTTCTGGAATACTTTCGTGAGCTCATACACGTTGCTTGGCAATTGAAAAGCTCGTAGACACAAAATGAAACAAACATAACCGAACCTGCTTCTTTAAAGCCTGCTTACCGGTTAGCTGTATGATGTAAACCGTTGACGGAACGAAGCATCCAAAGCTGTGCATGATGCCGGGACTTCTCTCTGCGGTACAACCCAGCTGGGCGTCAAGCATCGGATCTCAAAAACCTCAATGACTCTGATACCCGGGAGAGAACGTTTGAAATGTTGGGCGGAATATCTTGAACAACAACAATTGAGCTAACTACCTGCTACTTCTAATCCAGGCCTTTGATAGAAAAGTGAACTGTGAATTATGGAGATCTCTTCAAAAATATATGCCTACTCGCCTACTTATAATGTATCCCAAACAAGGAAGGTTTTCATCCCGGATCTATTTAATGATTCCTTTTCGGAACTAATAATAACGTGGTCAGCTGGCATCGCCCTCTTAGTCAAGAAACATCTGTGTAGCGAAGATTTGGTTTTTTGTGGCCAGTAATAAGTTTGAAGTGCCAGTACTTTGTGACGTATGTAGTTTGTCGTTTTTAAGCTTTCCCGGTTTTTTGTGTGTGTTCACATCACTCTTGTTCGAACCTCCCCCCATCTGTCGTAACCCAGTTGTTTTGGTTTGTCCTTGTCGAAACGGAAGCATTCGAGCTCGTTATATATTGCAATATCCTTGGTCTTTCCGAGGTTTGAACCCTGGATATCTGACTTGGGACAAGGGTGGTAATACTTCAATATGGTGAAACTCGAGTCCAGACATTGGGGGAGAGGGCCAATGAAAATAATTAGGTGATGACGTTTGAAGGACTGGTCAAAGGAGAGTGATGTGAATACAGGAAGAGAAAGTTTACATCTGCTGAGTATACAAGTAACAGACTACAAGCACTCACAATAGGGCTTCAGACTGGTCAAGGAGACCGAGTGTTTGTAACTTCGAAGTCCCTTGTGTGGGAATGCGATTCCGGCTGATCCTGCTAGTGTCCGCTCTGGAAAAACTAATACCATCCGGGACCGGAAATAGGACTTACTGTAGTGAAACGGAATGCTTTATTAGTAGTTAAGTAGGCGCGTATTTCCGAACCGTATTGTCGGCACTGCTTTCAGTTCATGTACAGCTTTAAGCATATTACGTTGCTCTCGTAATAGAAGAGTTCGTTGTATGAAGTGCTGAAGATCCGCCTGCGATATATCCCATTAGGCGTTCCGAAACCCACTGATTTATTAACCATTTTATATCGGGGTAATACGATATCTGCGGCCCTTACCCTTATGTAACACTATTCGATAAGCGTCTTTTCTGTGGAAGACTCACTGGACGTAGTTCCTTTCTTACCGCTGAATCACTGGGCTTTCGTGGTGTTGAATCTTGCCTGCATAATGTTTGAAACTTTATTAGGTATTTGAGAAGCAACTTATTTCAGACAGACATGCATAGTTTACCCCAATACAGGTAGTACGCAACTGATCCGTCAAAAAGTCCATCGATGGGTTGGTGATCACACTGAGTGTCCATATATCTCTTCTGAGCAATCCTAATCTGATAACATAATTTGTTCCCTATTTCACTCCTTCCGTGTAACAGGATGAAAGCGCCGGGCGTAGTCCTGGTTTTGGAATAACCTTATGGGCTGAGACAAAGGAGGGTGCGGTGTACTCCGCTGAGGCAATAAGTGAACCAGAGACTCCGAGCGCTGTTCCTGTGGACGCTGAGGCAGTAGGAAAGTCAGCAGCAAGTCATCTGTTGGATGAGGTAGGTTTGCTTTGTTTTCCATCTGGACGAGATGGTGAAATCTACAATTCACAGCTGATTGAAATATAGCTGTCACCACTGTTATCATTGTTATTGATCATATTCAGGAACACATATGTGAAATCACCATCAATCCTGCAAGAACGCGACTCACGCTGTAACGAAAATTTTCGCGTTCCGATGGCTTTGGAGTACTTCCGAACAACGGACCTTCTGTACGACGAAATTTCCCCCGAAACATTTATCATTTTGCGGTGAAATATCACCAACCAGGCGACTTCCTCTCACTTCATTGTAGGTGTAACGAGGCTCTAGAAACCTCGTTTGAACATAGATAAGATGGCGGCGAGAGCAATTAGTGAGGGCCTTGTTCGGATTAGTGATTTAAAGGACGCGACTGCATACTACTATCCAGGAAGAGGTCATAAATTGGTCGAGTCTTGTAACATCTCTGGTGTACTAGCTTGAAGTTGAAAAATCTTGATATGGAAAATGAGATTAATCCATATATCTCGCAGGTATGTTCAATAACTAAGAAGGAGATTGTGCATGGTTTGCAGGACAACTGAACTTTTTGTATGAGGTTGTCGGCAAATAGTCCTATCCTCCTTCCTGAAGGAGTTGAAACAACTGAGTGTCCAAAACGAGAGGAGAGTTGAGAGAACCAACAGAAGCCTAGCTGCCTCAACCATTAATATCAGCTACCGATGGGAGGCATTTAAGAACTATGCTCCGCTTAACATAGTATTTCGTGAAACGGGATCCAATGGTCCGTTTTCCATTTGTTTCTTGGTCTTCCATCAGATCTAATTCCCCCGCTCACCCTGCTCTATCGGTTTTTACAGCCCTTTTTATCACAGGATGCCTAGTCTGCTTGTTTGCGCCCTCCACAGTATTTCCTCATGTGTCCGTAGTACATCGGTCGAGAAGGTCTCATATTAGGATCTTCCCTGGTCTCTCCAAACTATATTAAATTCACCTTTGCTTTATATCCTATTTGATTACGTCATGACATACTTTCTGCTCCCATAGATTTACAATGGGGGCTTTGTGGATTCAGGGGCGCAATCTCTTATTCTTTTTCTGATGGCTTGTGAAGCCGGGAGAAATGCCAGCCAGTTGGCCATCGGATCACCTACCTCCTATACCGTCGCAACATTGCAGCTGATTCAGGAATTCTTGGGTGTAAGTTCTTTGACACGGTTCCACTGGTTTTGGTTACTCTCGTCCAAAAGTTGATTGTCATGGCCTCTCAGTTCTCCAGCTGGTTTTCGCAGCTAAACCGTGATCAAAGTTTGTTTGTTATGATTCATTGAGGACGGAGCTTTTGAACTTCACCTTATCACTATCCCAGTTTGTTCGTGAACACCTATATCCGAATAGGCGTTCAAATAAGGAACAAGGTTACTGGAACTTCGGATCCTAGATCTACCGAATGAACCTGAAAGATGATGAAACTGGTGTTGAAGTGTAGAAGGATTTTTATGAGCGCTAGGAGTAGCATATACCGAGGATCTCACCGCAGTTGTACTCTAGGACACTGCGGCAAGTTCAATTGTAAAATATAATGGAGAAATCTAAATCTCACGCCAGCGTAGTCTTCATTCATAAATGAGTGCTTAGCCGTATTTAAGTTTCCAGGACAACGCCATCATCGATGAGTTTGATGAAGGCGTCTTCCCAGTTGCTAATCCTTTGCAAAACTATCGTTTTGGTCGGTAAGCTGTGCCAATCGGACAGCAAAACGGGTTCCATGTATCAGATAGTTTCAATTTTTTATGGGTCTTCTGCACGCAACCTGAGTTGCTGGAAACAAACAAGCATTGGACGGACGTACTCATGAAAGTGTATAGACATACGTGGTCATAGCCTGTCATTGAGGTGCTTTGAGAGCAACGTTATTCGGTTCAACCATTCAAGGAGATGCCTGACTTAGGTGGAATGAGCCCATCTGATCACAACTCTTACGAGCAGCGGTTGGGAAGGTGGAGGTTGCTTGTCTTTGTGAAGCCTTGATTTTCATCCTGGTCGCAGACACAGACTGTTGTGTGGCCAAATATTAGTTCCAGATTTTCGAAAAGCACATCAGAGATGACTGTATTGAATGCAAAGTCAAGTCGAGTATTGATAACCTTTCGCTGCTTTCATGTCGTCTATCTGAACGAAGTTATCAAAATTGGACATTGCTGACAGTGTTTTTGTGCGATTAGTTTCAAACTGCGACAGTAGCTTTCGTTTATTGCAACAATTTTTAATCAGATCTGGGGGAACTACCAATTTATGACTTTAGACATGGATTTACGTACACTATCTGTATAGTGTTGAAAGTGTTTGGTGCACTTGTCCCCGTATTCTCATTTGGCCACTCCCTGCCTCATGGTAGTGTGAGGAGATTTGCTAATTCCCAATTGATATTTCGTCTTCTAACTGAAGCCAATCTGTGCTGAAAATCGGAGAAGCACTGTACAGCTATTCCATCCTTATAGGGAATAGCCAGCAGTGCGCTTCATGAAACTCCAGGGAGTTTCGAACGCGCAGACTCCCGGACATTGGTTTGGACAGTTAACCGTTCGGCCACGAGCGGCTGATCAGTACTTTGATTACCTCACACGTGGACACGATATAGCGTTACTCACCCTTCCATCACTGTCTGTATACTGTGGAGCAGTAGGTGGTTATACTGTTAGCGTTAGCATGCTAAGCAGGTCAGGAATATAGCCCTTTGACAATTCAGTGTCTTTTACTTCTTTATTACAGGTCACGTTCCACTTTGACTATCGGAACCGACTTGGATCTGGGAAACTCGCGACACAATCAGAAGACGGCACTTCCGACCCACCAGACCATCAACCCGAAGATTCCGCTTCACTTGACTCAGACGTACTTATCGCTACCTGTTTTGGTGCCGGAATAAAGAATGTTGCGCGTGCTGTTCGATGAACACATTTGTTTTCAGTTCAGAAAGGTGATGGGGAGGTGGTTCGTTCAGTTCAGCTGTAGCACCTTTCGGTGCCTTAACCGCCATGCCACCCTAAAGTTTCACGAGGGCTGGGATACTACCAGGTTGCCCAAGCCTAGACAGGGGAAGTCGAGAGGCAGAGGTCAGGTTCGAACCACGAACCTTCCGGTCAGTACATTCGCGCTCTAACCACTTGGGCCATCGCCCCCCGGGGAGATGGTTGATCGTAGAACTCTACGCCCATACCATTCTGGCAAACTCCGTCAGGGTTTAATAGACTGACAGTGCCGAGGCCAGCTAGTTAAGTTACATGCAGGGATTAAAGCAGTTGGTTCTGATAAGCTTTCTGAAAAGCATGCCTCCAATGTACAAAGGCGCTAGCATGAGAGAAGACAGGAAGGGTTCGAACTCTATTATGAAGATATTTGATTTCACTTTCACCAGGGAACTGCTTCAAGCGAAAAAAAACCCACCCTCAAACGAAAACAGTATCGCTGATTTAGCGTCGCACTACCAAAGCAGGTTTCTTCCACTGAATTTTTCAGTTGAAAACGGTATCCCTTTGTTCTAACCAGTTGTGCACTCGATCAACCAATTCAAAGTCTCCTCAATCAATTGTCCTCAACCTATCTCGAACTGCACAGTTCAGTTTGTCACGGAAGGTTGCTCCTTTGTTCAAATTTCGGTGACCTAAAATAAAGTACAGCACATGATCCGCAATTCGCGGCTTTGGTCGTTCGTGAATTTTTCCATAGGAATTTACTGTAAGGTGTTCGCAGAAAGTCCCGCAAACATCATCTGCCATTTTAAACGGAAATCGTTCTCACAATGTATAGTTTTTCATACGCTGAGACGCTAACTTGTTGAAAACAGTGTAATTTACCAACCTGGTGAATTTTGACGTAAATTGAGCTAGATTTTTATGCAAAGTAAAATTCTATTTCAAACTTTTATATTGTAGAGCCGCTCCAGAGCAACATGAGATGGAATCGCTGCCCCTTCGGTTGGCTCAGAGGCGGTACGTTTAGGAGCAGTCACTCGAGGGCTCTATTTTCCCCCATTTCCCCACCGGCTCGCAGTTTATCCAGCAGCTGCTGCCGAGCATAATTTCACGGGCTAAAGTTATATCGAGTGTTTCTGTATTTTCCTAACCTTTGGTTTGTTATTCCTCAAGCACCAAGATGCCGCCCAAATAGACTCCTTAAAAGGGACCAAGGAGGATTTGCCCCGGAAAGGAACCAATGGATTAGTGCGCCATTGTGGCCTGAGCGAATGCACATAAGGAAGAAACACGATGTCGGGCTCAGGAATACTGCCAAAAAGTCACCACCCACGAGAGCTGCGGGTATGTTGAAGATGAATCTGCCTCGGCACTAGATTGCTGGCTGCAACAATTTGAACATTCCCGTAGACAGTGGCGCCGGTCTACCGATGAAAGGGAGAAGGCCTTTGCTGCGGAGTTATTTATTAGGAAATGCCAACTGACCGGTTACAGACCATTGAACAGGGAAGAGAAACTCTCAGTCTTTTTATAATTTCTGCTGGCAGAGTAAATTGGAGCTCATGCGAACCTATTTTTGGAAATATTGAGTCAGGTAGCAAACCATAATGGGGAAAAGGTTGTAAACTATCTTCACCATTTGAGTAACCCACGCAAGCCACTAAGGTTCATGTTGACTAAAAACGTAATACTTTTTAATACTTACATTTTTTATTTGCTTAATTTTCAATGCTTGTCTATCAGTTGATACTGGTTGGTTTAAGGCGCATGGAGGAGTGCTAACGAGCAATTAGTAAATCGGGAGAGTTCTTGTATTTTACTGTTTGACGGTACACTATCCTGTGCTGAAAGCCCAAGAAGCTCGGTGCGGCTGTCCGTATTCGTTTGTTGAGTATTCCACTAAGAGTCCCCGGTGGCCGATTAGGACTGTGTTTAGATTGCACCCAGACAGGATTTGGTGCCAACTATCCCCATGAATACACGTTCAAATCCCTTGAGTTTGTGTCGACTGTCGACCGTTTGGAAGGCCAATTTCACGATTTCGTTATTTGAACAAGCTACTATAATTTTAAAAGTAGCTAGGCGAATGTCGGGTTCCAGCGTCAGAATACTTCCCTCCTGCACATGTGTAGGCATCACACACTACTCATAAGTTTGCTGAAACTTCTTCGACACGATCGGTTTCCCCCTTCTTCGGGCTCATCAGGTGGGGGAATTCCCTAAGTTTCCGTCAACTTCATGTCCTACTCGAACCCAGATGGCACGGATTTAGCAAAGTACATTCATTTGCAAACCAATTTGGCTCTGCCGGAGACTCACCTGGTACGCGCAGGAGTACACCGCAAGGCCTATCCACTGTCCAGAATACTAATTTAGTTGGCTACGAGTCCGAACGGACTCCGCGGGAAATACCTCCGCAACTGCTACGCTTGCACTGCAGGACCGGTATCTTCCTGCTGCCCTGGTGGAGATTTATCGATCGCGGAATAGGTGCCACAAAGCTGGATTAATCTAAATAATCTGATCCACTGTAGAAGTGTGCAGATTTGTTAACACAATGAGGTAAAATTCCACGACATCCTATTACTTGTAGATGAGAAAAAATTAACTGAAAGATGAACGATTTTAACGGCTGTGTGGTTTGTTTAAATTTACCCGCGATCTTCAAGAGGTATCTCAGTATTTCACCGATAATTACAACGTAGACGTACTCGGGATGGACTAAATCTGCTTTGTAATTACGCCTACGCAGTTTCCATAACAGTACCTTGATTGGTGATAAATGGCGATAATATTTCTGTTGCTTCTAATTCCAGATAAAGCAACAGCATACCTTCATGAGATCCTACGCAGGTTGTACACCGATTTCTGATGACATAATTCAGAAATAAATTTACCAGATACAAATGTTCAAGGGATAAACTGGAATAAACTCATCTTCTTAAAATGTTGTTGCTAAATCGCGGGTGTGGTAGCGGTAGTGCACTGATCGAGTTTAAAGGTATCCAAGTGCTCAAAGACCAAAACGTAGCGTTTACATCCGCTGTGTATATCAGATAAAAGGGATCACAAGGACCGCGCTGTCTAGCAAATTATTCCGAACACAGTTACGCGTGACCATTCCGCGCAACTTGTTATGAAAACGTAGCGGGCTGTGAAAAGTTCTTCACATTCTATCGACTCTCACTCGGAGAAATTACGGTGGAAGACAGCTTCAGCGTTACAGCCTACTTTGTGGTGATCGGGGCGCACTGGATTGTCAATCAGATACATGTTAGCACATCGTATTAGAATGTTTAAAACCTTGAAGGTACCAGTCATCAGACCCAGAAAAAAGGGAAAAGAGGGGAAAAAGAGCGATAAATGCCTTATTCGTTGACTTGTGTAAGGCCTTCGGCTGAGTGAAAAGAAACATTCCAGACCTGAAACTACCACCTTGGCCTTGCCGCGTCTTTGGATGTTCTGAAACTGAAATCCAATTCGTAGTTTATTTACTTTGGAACTAAACTCAAAACATTCTCGTATCAGGTTTTATATGGTGTAGCCATAAAGAAAGCCATAATTTTCAGACCAACCCTAAACGAAAAATTGTGAATAATAACTGTCATTTTGGTTTCCGCTTAATGAATCATCTTCGTATGGTACTTGTTTGATCAGACACTGATCTTGCTCATACTCTGACCTGACCTAGAGCTATCAACTTGTCGTGGTGGTCCGGATTCTGTACTGCAATGACCCTTCGGTCTACACTGGTCGGAACTTAGTTTCCAAAGGCTCAGCCATGCCAGCAAAGCCAATTGGGAGCACCTCGACGAAGAACAATGAGTCCCCGTAATCCGAGTAATCCTCTTACGAAGCGGTCTGGAGTTAAAATCGTGCTTTACTCTGCGATAGGAGTAAGATGAGCTACCAGCGTTCCCATGAGACGTTAATGCCTTACTCTCTGTGTCCTCGGGCGAGGCCGGTCACCTGCGGCGAGGTGGACCAGGGAAGGGTTCTACAAGAAAGCTCTAACAACCGCTGCCTCAGTTCAGACTTTTTTGTCAGAGACTAGAGCTAGGTTTCCCGAACAAAACCCCTGTATCCTCCTATTGCCTAGTGGGTCAGACTGGGTCAAAGGAGGGGTACCTCAGTCAGACCCGTTCGGCTTGAGCAACCGAGATTTACCACCCGTCCTTACAACTCTTCGCTCCTCGGCCTTCCTCCACACCCCCTTACGACCCATGAAAAAAACCTATTTGCCGGTCGCACAACCACTGTTCCGTGTTTAGGATGTCGCTCAGAATAATAAACGAATATAATCACTTTCCCATAAAGGAAACTACCCAAGAGATCTTATCCACATTGTAGCCTTTAATGTCCGTACTCTGTGTCAAATTAGGCAACGGTTATCCCTCGCTGAAACCTTGATTTCCCACTCTGTAGAAGTATGTTTTGTCTCCGAAACACGCATACAAGATCCAGCTTCGTTCGTCCACCTCCAGCCGCTTAGGACAGGCTCAGATGTTCCGCTTTCACTTTCCGGGTATTTAGTGATCCTGATGTAATGGTACGTGGTATCTAAGGAGTGGGATTTGCAATCAGCGCCAAGGCTGAAAGTGCTTCACTTGATTGGGTCTCAATAAACAATCGTCTTTGGGCTGTACAATTTTCTGGCTCATTTAAGACCAACGCCGGTCGACGTGGTGAACGGTGTCTACTTGTCGTATCAGCTTATGGTCCAACAGAATTATAGTTCTGAAAGTGAGTAAGATGGGTTTTATGGAGGTCTGTCGCAGCTGCTTCGGTCAACAAGAACGATGGATATATTAACCCTGGTGGGTGATATGAAGTCCGAAAAAAGCAAAATTAGATGATAGATTTGAAGTTGGTTCTCAGAGTGCGGATAATGGGGAGCGACTGCTTCAGTTGTGTGCTGATCATCCTCCGTTCCTGGCCACTAGGAACTTCCAACACAAAGCTTCACACCGAGTTACTTGGGGGCCACCTACCACGGGACAGTCAGTGACT